ACACCCCGGTAGTGTCGTGCGGCACCTCTCGGTAAGCCCAGAGAACGAAAGGCACAAGTTTATCCCAGTTCTTAGGGTCGCGTTGGATGACATGAAACAACATATTCTTAAAAACGCGGTTCCATCTCTCCACGGCTCCGTTGCTCTCCGGGTGTTCTGGCGTGGAAAACCTCGGGGAGCAACCCAGTCTTTCGAGCATCTGCTGCGTTAGCTTCGCGGTAAAGTTCGTACCCTGATCGCAGCACACGGTCTGGGGCACCCCCGTACGACTGAACACGTCTAGGAGGGCCTCGCACGTGGCCTTCGCAGTTAGTGAACGAAGGCAGACGACTTCGGGCCACCGAGTACAAAGGTCCACCATGCAAAGAGCATACCTGTGACCCCTCGATGAGGGTACGTCGAGAGGCCCGATTATGTCCACGTTCACAGCCTGGAAGGGATGCTCGGGACGCGTGAGGGGCGTAATCGGCACCCTATCCTTGCGCCTCCTATCCGATCGGATCTGGCACCCGTGGCACGACTCGCAGTGCTTAGCTACGTCCCTCTCTAAGCCAGGCCAATAGAAGCTGTACTTGATACGGAGCTTCGTTTTCTTTGCGCCCAGATGCCCGCCCCAGAACGACTCGTGCGCGAGGCGCATCACCTCCTGTCGCCTCTCGCTGGGAAGGACCAATTGCCTGACCTTCGAGCCAGCAATTGTGTCCCAGTGATACAGGAGCTCGCCCGATACGAACATCCCTCCCTTGCCCTGGCTCGCGTCCTCCCACGCCTTTCTTAACCCCGCGTCATTTTTTTGTGAATCGCGGAATTTAACAGCCTCGCTTGGCTCATCTCGGTCTATATCGGGATCCTTAGCTTCCTCTCCCCTTTCGTCCGTTACGGCGCCCGCGAGAACTTCGTCCTCGTCGTGTTCCCCGCCACTCTCTCTGCCGACACTTGACTCCCCCGAAGTTTCCCGCTGAGACTCAGAAGAGAGACCGGCGCCTCCCGAAAGTAGCGCCCAGTCCTCTCCCGTCAAAAGACAGTCCACTCCAGGGGCAAGCTCGTCGGTCAACGCGCACACGATGTTTATCTGCGCGCCGTCCACGACCGTGCCGTCGTGGCGGAGCTGCAGTGGCAAACGAGCGAGCTTGGCCGTTATTGCCTGTCCAAAGGCTGAAATCAAGCGTATGGATCCCGACGGATCCCCTGCACTTGTCGGCAACAATCCTTCCCGGATAACGGTTATCTCACATCCCGTATCGAGGATCGCGCTTGTCGGGACGCCAGCGCAAACGATCTCGACACGTTGCAAGCTGGAAGTACAGGCGGACCGCGGTGGCCCAGTCGCAAGCTTTGCCACCAATAACCCCGAGTTATCTGGTCCCGGCTCGTCCTCTCCCACTACTATCGACTGGATCCGCGATACCTTCGAGTGGGCCCCAGGGTGGGCTCCCAGCTTTGATTTCCGAGTCGGACAGTCCCTTGCCAAGTGCCCCTCTTTTTGGCACTCGTAGCATCGGAGTGGACGGCCACCCCTGCCAGCCCTTGCAACCGGCGCCGCGCCGTTATCCCCGCTAGCCTCTACCACCTTCGCGAGGCGGCCCTTCCCCTCAGCCTCCTCGAACGTCTGGAGAATTTTGGCGATCTCGTGTGCCTTCATCCATCCCTCGCCTTCGCGCAGAATCACATACTTCAGGCTGTCCCTGCTCAGACCGTTTTTTACCCGATCCGCGACCATCAGTTCGACTAGGTCTTGCTTAGTGTCGGCCCCTCTCGCGTCAAGGTAATAAGTAAAATAACCCCTCACCCTTGACGCGAATTGGGTCCACCCTTCGTCTTTTCTTTTGGACGCGGTTTCGAAGCGCCGGAGGTATTCCCCCGGCGTCAGTCTCAGCTCCTCTAGGACGGCCGCTTTCACCCTTTCGTAGTCGGCGACCTCCTCCGCGCTCAGGCTAGCGAAAAGGTACCTCACCCTCTCCGACAGTGCAGGCATAATCAGATGCACCCGGTTGTTTTGGGGCACCCCGAACGTCGAGAATATTTTTTCGGCCTCCTCAAACCAAACTGGCACGTCCGCGTCGCAAGGCAGCTTACGGCCTTTCAGCACCTTGGCACACTGTGAGAACGGGTCCATACGACAACCCTCGCTGGAGTCCGACCCAGAGCTTGACTCCGGTCGAGTCGTCTTTCCATCTACCTCAATCCGGCGCATAGCGATGCGCTCTTCCGACTCGAGTCTGAGCAACTCGCGCGCGTGCTCCAACTCGAGTCGCCGCATCGCAACCGCATCGGACTCGCCCGAGTTTCCCGCTTTCTGTAGCTCAACCTCGGCCCGATCATTGTCCCCCGTCCCCGACTCATCCGCCGACTTCTCAGCCATGCCTCTCGTTACGACCACCATAAACCACTCAACGCTGTACCGGAGCCACGTCAACCCCTGGGAACACGCAAGAAATCCCACTCACCCAGTCCGGGCTAGCCTGTTTCCGTTCTGCTCCAACGTCGGCAGGCGCTCACTTGCTTGCACCCCTTTACGGTTCAGGTGCGCTGAGGTCTGCCGCCGTCTTCAGGAGCTTGTTCCAACAGGGTCCCGGTCCGGAGACGTGTTGCGGCTGTTTCCGTCGAAGAGTCCCAGTGCTCTGCTCCAACGTCGGCAGGCGCTCACTTCCTTGCACCCCTTGACGGTTCAGGTGCTGAGGTCTGCCGCCGTCTTCAGGAGCTTGTTCCAGCTGGGTCCCGGTTCGGAGACGTGTTGCGCCCCTTCCTTGAAGGTTCAGGCGCACGATCCCTTCGCTGTCCTCTTGCCCGAGAGGTACGCCGATACTCTTCCGCCAGCCCTGTCGGCTGCGCCAGTAAAGTTTGGTCGTTGTTCTTCTTGGCTGGCGGCTTGGTAGTTTGGTGGACGATGGAGGCTTTTGGGGGTTACGAGTTCAAGACATTTATTTACATTACAAACTCTGTACAGTTTTATGTACAAGTAGGGGAAGTTTGCATCTCCGTCGAACTTCTTTACAGTCGTTCCAAAGCAAGCAAAAATCGCCCCTTCCCGCCCCGACACGAGCTTTTAAAACCTCGGTCTTCCTCGCCCTCGGGAAGGGATCGGCCAATAGGTTTGAAACCCCTCGGAGTCACGTGCTGCCACCCGTCCAATGTCCGACAGGGCGCAAACAGGCCCATTCGTCAAGTTTCCAACGGACCCGAGGTGACAGCCCCGTAACTCCGACAGTGGTCGTCGTCCACGTCCTCGTGGCGCCACAGGGAGCCCCTTAGTCGAAACCCGATCGGCCACGGGGCTGCGCCCGGCAGCAGCCGCCTTCGTAAACAAACAAAAAGATGACACTTCTCGCGCACAGCGACCACCCGGGGGCTGCCCAACCTTCATCGCACCAAGGCGCGCAGGCTCCTAACGAACCCGAGGGGAGAGCCCCCTAACATCGGTGGTGGTCGCCGTCTTCTCGGAATCGCAGCGGACCCCTCGGTCGAAACCCGACCGGCCGCGGAGGATTCGCCAAGTGGCAGACGCCTCCGCAAATACAAACAAAAGAAAACACTCCCCGCGCCCAGTGACCACCCCGGAAGGGCGACCAACACGGCTCGCCCCGAGGCGCTCCAGCTGCGGACGGGGGGCCGCTAACAAAATGAACAAAACGAAACACTCCGCGGCGTCGCCCAACCTTACAGATTGGTTCAAATAATTCTAGTTCAATGGATAAAACACAATATTTCGAACAAAATGATATCTACATGACAGGAATACTCCTAATAGTCACCGAGAAAAATGTTCCTCAACATGGCCTCAAATGCATGGGGAGTATAGGACTTACCCTGTGCCCTTAAAGGCCTGTTCACACATGTAGCGTACTACAAGCGTAGCGCTGGCCTCGCGCTAAGCGCGTGCTGACGGGAGCGTTCACCAGCTTTGTATCACACCGTCAATACTGTTGTTCATGGCAGACAATAAGTAGCGGACGACACGTGAGAAGCGCTACATCAGCGCTTCGCTCCATGTGTGAACCGGCCTTCATATGGGCCCGGTTATTATGGAAAACCCGCGTCATGGATGAAATTTTTGGCCACTGATCTTCCGCAATGTAATTTTGCCCCGTTCATATGAAAACTCATAGTCCGGATTACGGACAGCTATTTTGGGGACTCATTGGGTAAATATAGGCATTTTTGTCTGGTTAATATAAAAACCAGTCCTCCAGTTAAAAAAAAAAAGGGGGGGGGGGACCAAGAACTCTTCTGAGATATGAGTCAACCCAAGAGGTAACATTGCACACCCGGACGTTCGTTGCGGGTTTTATTCTTATGTCAAATGGGTCATTACCGCTTGCAGTCTACTGTTACTTGAGATCGTGCATGACCTACATCTGGGAACAAAGAAGAATGAAACCTAAAGCAGCTAGGTCACCTCACTGTAAGCTTTGTCACTGTTGGGGAACGGGAGGTTTAGACACTTGCGACTAACCCCGACGCAACCTGTATTTAAGGATATTGGGACTGCCTACGACAGGCAGCGCAGCAGCAGCGATGGCTGTCGTAAGCGGCTTAAAACCCGGTTGCGCCAGAGTCGCTCGTAGTCGGTTGCAAGTGCGTGAATTAGCCTTAACTCGATTGCAAACGGGGAAGGTTACGGTCCAAGCGAGTCAGTCAGCACGTCGTAGGGAGACACGTGGATCAGTAGGTGGGCGCAGAGCTGTCGAAGTCACGGGAGGGGGAGATATGAATGCCGGTTTTGTACAAGTTTTTAGTGACAGGTAACATTTTCTGGGGGACGAGGTGACGTCTGGGACACACAAAAGAGGGTTTGGTAATGAGAGGATTTCCTCCTTCTCCTCTTCTTCAGCTTCTTGGGTTACGCAAAAGCCACCTACGCTGTCGTCTCCGTACTTATGGTAAGGGCTGTCACGTCCCGATTCGTTATTATGGACGACTCGCACTATGAACAATTTTTCTGGGGAACGTAGGCGTCCATATTAACGAGACATGACTATTGAATTTTCCCACTTACTCACCTTTTGTTCTCGAGCGCTTGAAGGCACTTGCCGAGAGCCTTGGAACCACGGATGAGCGAGAAGGCAGCCCCCGAAAGTCTCGAGCAGACGGACACCGTGAAGTTGGAGCCTTCGATGAAGTAGAAGCCCCAGTACTCGTACGTCTGCTTGGGCACCGCCATGGTCAGGTTCAGATGGAGCGTCCGATTCTGTGGCCTCGTTACGGCGGACTCGGCCTCACGGAAGACGTGCGCGTTGAACGTGTGGTTCATCACCAGCTCTTGGGCCGTGCACCAGACGGTGGACATGCGGTCGTGGACGGGGATGACGTCGGACACCGCTAAGGCCACCAGGGTGTCCTTGTAAACGTTGAAGCGGAGCACGAACGGGTAGATGAAAAGCACCGCTGCGGCGGCCACGAAGGCCAGTGCCAGGAATGGGTGGTGAGAGTAGACACGCATCCCCGGTATCCAGCCACCGTCCAACTTCTGAAGCTTCCTCAGCGTCATTCGAGGTTGCTGGCGGTCGTCGGGACCCGCCTGGTCACTGGTCTGTATTCTCGTGGCATCTGTCTAGCTTGCGGGTGAAGGGTCGAAGAATAATCGCTTCGAGTTGGTGTTCCTCGTATTCGCTCAGCTGGAGCTAGACACAACAGTCAATCATGCGAGCCAACTGTAGATATATTCACTGTGGGATGTGATGCAAGGTATGTTTGCCTCCAGAGACCTCACTGTTAAAAGATGTTTGCACCCCTGGAAAAGAACTAGTGAAACGACTTGCGTTTCTCTGAAGTTGTCTTCTCCTTATTTAGATCACAGCTTCATTCCTGCATTTAGCTTCACATCTAACTTGCAAGAGACACACCTGTTTCAAAAATCGTGGTTGAAGACTGCCCAGCTTTTCGTGTACTCTTGTTGAAGTAGCGCTGGTCACGACACTCTGCTTGCACGAAGCAAAGGTTCATCTACTGTTGAGCGTCAATCCGCTTGAGTATGGGACAAAACCATATCTCAGTGCACGTACGGAATTCGCGCAAAACGAAGTTCGCAATTGTTTTCGTCGCGCGTCGAAGGGTTTCCTTTCAAAGTACAATAATATCCAGTCTTGTTTGCCTTCCACTTGCTGCGATGATGCGTTCGACGTGTTCGCTCCAGGTCGGTGACCTCCCGGACCGTTGACTCCCTCGCGGTTGCCGCTGGCTTCGCACACAACTTAGTGATAGATCACTCGCACAAGCCGAACCAAACCGCAGCCCCCACTGGGTAGTGAGATCGTCTGTCCTCCTGTTCAACACATGTAGTCTTCTCGTCACAATGCAAAAACCACGCTGCTCTATCGGGTCCGCTCGCTTGTCAACGTACTCAGTTTTTCCTCCGGAGATCATCCAAGCCCTCGCTCGGAGGGGCCCTCTCCCCCGAAAGCCCGCTTCCGCAAATAGCTTCCCGCGCTTACCTCGAACCAATCTAAGCACAGCGGAACGTGGCGTCGACACACTTCCCCTGCAACCGAGACCGAAGAACCGCGCGCTCGCTTGACGGCGGCAACAAGCTGTCAGACAAGAGAGCACAACAAAAAGTTTCTTTAAGCAATCAGCGACGTAGAAGCAGACGCCTCTACGCCTCCTCGAAGTGAAGGGCACACGTTCGTGTTCTGTCGTTCACTTTCGGTGGTCACTACACGGACTCACCTTGGAGGGGGGAAGTCACCCCGCCGCGTCATCAAGTCTTGCACAGGTACAAGAGGATATCTTGGTGGCATGGGATCACTTCTCGAAGGTTGCACCAACTGCGTCCACCCAAAGTTAAGAACCAGTCGCCCGACGCTCTCGTATGGAAACCTCGAGTTTGAGCGCACTCACCGCTGATTGATCTTCGACGTTGCCGATGTTTACGGCGCACAGTCTCCTGTTGCTCTCTTCACAGACGACAGCAACATTGCTTCGGATAACACGGCGGGCAGCCTCACGCCGCTCCGTCCGTCCAACCATAGTGGACGCGCGTGTTCACTTTATCTGTTGCCGCATTCTTTCTGGCTTTCTTTCGCTTTTCTCTTTTTTCTCCAGTCGCGTCGCTTACAACTGGCGGCGCTAGCTCCGTGACTCCCCCTCTTTCTCTCGCCAGACGCTGCAGCTTGTTCGTTGCTCTTGCGCAAACCCATTGTTATCTGCGGGGACCCGTTCATCTTCGTGAAGAGAGGCACACCTCTTTCGCCACCTTATTTTTACATTTTCTTTTATTTCTTAACTACGTTTCTGGATCCTGTTATATCTGTTCGAAGCTAAATCGCCCGAGAGCAAGAGTTTCTCGTCACGACAGCTCGCTGATATGCTGGAGAGAGGGTCGGAGAAATCTTTCAGGAAGCACACCGCTTTTTCGGCGTCTTGCCAGGCTTCGGTCGCTGTAACTAAGGGTCGTGTTGACCTCGAGCCTAGAGGACGATTGAGGCACGACCAGAGATTGGACGAGCGGTTATCGGCTTCGTTCTCGTCCGTTGCCGAGCTTCTGACGGCCGGCAGTCGAGATTTCGCAGCCTGCCAAAGCATCGGCTTCGAGAAGCCGATGCACACAACCACCCAGTGCGGTGGCAATCAGTTTGCCGAAAGAAGCTTCATCGACAAACCGTTTCGTCGATGTGCGACGTTTCATCAAGACACTTTGCGACGTTTCGCCAAATGAGACTTCCCGTACACATCGCCTCGGTCGCACATTGCGCACATGTCCAGACGCGTCGAGGTCAGTGCCGTCTGCTCAATATTACTCGATATCGAACGGTGTCGCCACCGTGCGACCGAAATTGTAAGCATACACAAGTGTGGATACAGCGTCGTCGTCTGCTGCTGCTGCTGCTGCGGCCGCACGTTGAGAAGCATGGATCTCGACGACTAGAGAGCCCCTTTCCGGCTGAGCTGCACTCTTCTTATTAAATGAGTGTTGTTCTTGTCGTTGGTTATTTTTTCTCGTGATTTTATTTTAACGTTTCACATGCGTAGAAGTTTAAGAAAGCGAGAAACATCTAGTCGGATGCTTCCATAATCCTAGTACTGTGGTTTGTGGTACCGCGGAACCTATACATTTTTGTTATTTCACCCACGGATATATTTAATAGAATAATGGCTGTTGACTAAAACTCAAAAGTCGCTAAAAAACAAACAAACTGATTGCTACCTTTTAATGGACTCCAATAAATTAATCCATTAGTTCGTGGACCTCCGGCATATCACATGAAATACAATAACACTACACCTTTAAAAAAAAAACTATTTTCATTGTGTCATGTGACATTTGCAGTCTCATTTGAAGCTTGACGATGTGACACCTACGGAAATATATAAACACGGGAATTCTTTTTCAAAGTGAAGTCGTTTTTATGTTATTATTTAACTATTATACGCACTCTCGATGATAGTCACAAAAATTCTGAAGTGATTTACCATAGAAGCACGGGTCCTAAAATGAATTTAAATCTAAGAAATATTAAAGCAGGCATTTTTATTTTATTTTTGGTTCGACTTTTCTAACTTAAGAACGCAGTCAAACCAATAAAGCATCTGATCGCGGTTAAAGCGTTACTTAAATAATGCGAAGGTTAATAAAAGAATTGCCCAGTCCTAATGTGCGCGCGCGAGGTTCGGGCACATGGCGGAGGGTTATAGAAATGTCCAGTGTGAAAGCCGCAAGCCCTCATCAGTAAGAGCGCTTCTGCGGCCGACGCTACTTATGTCGTGGTGCTGTTTGTTTGCTCGGGTCGCAAAGAGCCTACTGCGTTTCAAAAGAAGAGAATTTAGCCAGCAATTTATAATATTAGCGTCTTGGTCTCATTGGTCCTCCTCAAAAACATCGAAGTGGGTGAGTGAATGCACACTACAAAGAAGAGCACGTGTAAAGATGCATGATACTGCGTTCGTCGCTTGCACTCGTTTAATCCACTCGAGACTGGGTTATTAGACCACTTTGTTTTACTTGCCTATGGTTTTCGTTCCAACGAACAGTTTGAGATCGTAACTGGAAGAGGCACTTTTTGTGTAGAATAGTAGCGACTTCGTCAGAACAACCCACACCAGCACATAGTAAAAGGAAACATGGGCTGGCTACAGCAGTAATGCCTTCCTTACTCCTATATTTATTTTTATTTATTTATTTATTTATTTAAAATACCTTCAAGGCCATCGGCATTACAGAGGGGAGTGGGAGGTTAGTGGCAGTAGTACACTTTGCAGCTCAATCTGAGCAGTATAGATTACTTATGGCAGTTCTAAATAAGTGGTCAGGAACAATGGTTGCGATAGATGCGGGAAGGTGGTTGCAATCCACTGAAGTTTTCGGAATGAATGACTTTCGGAATGCATTAATGTTACATTTTAGAATGTCTACTTTATACATATGATCAATCCGTGGCGAAATATAAGACGGATGACTCAGCAGTCGGTTGTGAAGTAATGAGTTAGTATGGTATATCTTATGAAAGAGACATAAGCGAGCTATTTTGCGACGTAAATTGAGGTTAGGCAACGATAACATAGTTTTCATTGAGCTCACGCTTGCGATGCGATGAAAGTCATTAAGAATAAAACGAGCAGAGCGATTCTGAACTTATTCCAGGGCGTTAGTTAGTTTGGAATGACCGGGGTCCCAAATAGAAGACGCATATTGTAATTTAGAACATACCAGCGTTTTGTACAGTGTTAGTTTCAAAGATGAAGGGGCAAGTGAAAAGTTTAAATAACCCAGCATTCGGTTAGCGTTATTAATAACATACTCAACATGCATTTGCCAGGAAATATCTGAGGTTATATGCACACCTAAGTATTTATAAGAAGAGACAGAAAGTAAGCGGACATCTTCGAGAAAATAAGAAGAAGGAAAATTACATTTACGCGATACTCTCATGGCCTTGCATTTAATCGTGTTAAGTTCCATCCCCCATAATCACACCATTTTGAAACATGGTTAATGTCAGTTTGTAGATTCAGAACATCCGAGGCGTTAGTAACTTCTCTGTAAATAACACAATCGTCAACGAATAAACTAATTGAAGAAGAGATCGAATTCGGCAAATCGTTAGTATAGATAAGGAACAATAGCGGACCTAATTCAAAACCTTGTGGTACTCCAGAATTGATGGAGGCGAGTGGTGATGTTTCATCGTTAGCGGTTACAAACTGGGAACGATGAGTGAGAAAACAAGTAATCCAGGGCAAAACATTTGCGTCAATGTTAAGATTAAGTGTTAATAGCAGCAGCTTGTGTGAAACTTTATTGAATGCTTTGGAGAAGTAAAAAAAAAAAAAATGCAGTCTACCTGGGACTCTCGGTCAATCGCTAGGTGCAAATCATGGGTGAATGACAAAAGTTGCGTTTCGCAAGAGAAGAATTTACGACAGCCATGCTGCGCGGTGCTGAAGAAAAGGTTAGATTCTAAAAATTGAACTAGTTGTGAGTAGATGATATGTTCTAGTATCTTGCATGGAATGCTAGTAAGCGAAATTGGTCGATAGTTATCCGGGCAATATTTATCACCTCCTTTGTGGAGTGGCACCACCTTCCCTATCTTCCAATCAGCAGGCAACTCTCCAAGTGAAAGTGACTGGGAAAAATTTGAGTTAATATCAAAGAGCAATACATTTTTGTGTTTTTGAGAAACTTTGATTGAATGCTGTCAGTGCCAGCAGAGGAAGAAAGTTTTAAGTTATCGATTATTTTAACAATACCAATGGGGTCAACAAGAACGGGTCCCATAGGCAAAAAATCACTCGCGTCAAATCTACAAGTAGGCGTGTTAATAACAGTTTGAAAGGACTTAATAAAAACAACATTCAAAACGCGAGCACATTCATCGCTAGAAATTAAATCTCCGTTCGCGGCCTTGAGTGAAATTACGATTTTTTTCTTTTTTACTAACAACATTCCAAAACTGCTTTGGGTTAGTGGCTAACATAGACGGTAGGTTAACGCTAAAATACTCGTATTTCGCATCTTGAATAGCATTTTTGTAAACTGCATTGGCGTTGTGATAAGATTCCCACCGGTTACAGGTACTGGAAGATTTAGCGGCACGAAACAACCTCTTTTTCTTGTTCGATAGCCTTCTCAGTGATGGGTTATACAATGGTGATTGAGGGTGAGACGTTACAGATCTCAGTGGAATGTACTTGTCTGTGAGGATGGCGACTTGACCCTTAAACATATTCCAGTTCTGCTTAACGGAACGCTCGGAGCAGTTAAAAAAGTAGTGATCAACGAAATGACTCAGGGCATCGTTTATAGCGTCGAAATTAGCTTTTCGGTAGTCTCGGATAAGTTTTATCTTTTTTCTACTATTACACTTTGGTATGCTTAGAGATATAAGTAACGAGCAGTGATCACTTAGACCTGGTAGGTGAGCTATTAGGGATACAAGGTCAGGTGTGGAGGCTAGAACAAGGTCAAGAACATTTGCTGACGTGGCTGCAATTCTTGTGGGTTCTGTAACTAGCTGCGATAAGTTAAAATCGGAACACATGTTCAAGAAATCAAAACACTCAGACGAAAATGGATTAGGATTAGGATAGGTTAGCAACAAGAGGGGAATTCATAATAATTATCAGCACATACCTCTCTCAGTGTACACCGTCTATATTTCCAAGGTAGCTAAGAGTTGTGCAGAAACAAAAATCCGTAGAACCTCGATTCGACAATCTACAGTAGCAATACTATGTTAGTATCCGGCACGGGATTCCTCATTTTGTTGCATTTCCAAGCTAGTGAAAAGATACAACTTCCTGAAAAGAAGTATCGTTTCCGGATACAGGCATCGGTCGTGGGGATCGTGCTTCCCTACGCGCGTCTAGAGCAGACGACGCACCCACACAAGCGATTGCTCAAGTTGCAGCCGCATGCTGGTAACACGAATTGATCTTTACTGGAGTACCAAACAGCACCGCACCATTTTCCGCTACAACGTTTTTTCCCCCAAAATACCTTGCAACAAAATAAACGCAAATATCTACAACGTTCCGCTCGCCAACGTGGTATGGTGCCTGGAACGTGTTTCCGATTGGTGTGTTTACCGCGTCCAAAAAAGTGGTCCCTCGATTTCCGCCTGACGACCTCATAGAAGTGTTACGCTGTCGCCGGACGC